TAAATAATTTTTCTAATAAAGCCACTTGTTATTTTTATAACAATGATATTTAAATTATGTTGAATTGACTTTAATTATATTATAATAAATATTTTCATTTATTTGGCTTATCAAGTTAATTATATTTAATCGGTTGGAAAAAAAACAAGGTTAAGAAAACAGAAAAAAAAAACTTTGATAGAAAATTATATACGATTTTTTGTATTTAATAAATTTAAAAGAATAGCAAATAAATCTAATTGATAAATTCAAAAGAACTTAGTATCAATTTATAATTTTTTATAATATCCTATAGAAGTATTTACAATTGTTTTAAAAAGATGAAAGCTATATGAAAAAATTGGGTTCTTTCAATTAAATAATCAATAGTAATGGCTGGGAATCAATGGAGATTGAAAGGAAAAGTAATAAATGTTATTTAATTAAAGAGTTTACATGTAGTTAGAATTTAAATTCTGAAAACATATTATTATATTAAAAGGGGGACTGAATTGGTTTAATCAAATCAAAGCATTTCAATTATTTCCAGTAGTTTTCAATAGAAGGATAGGCTGATGTATAGAATATCAAAAGAAATTAGTGGAAAGATTGATAGAAATACTAAAACAACTAATCTTAAAAAACACAATTAAAAGTTATTGGTGGATTTTCTAATGTGATTAATTCTTCAAAAACCTAAATGAATGCATGACTAATTCAATTCACCTATCGATAAAACCCATTAAGGACAATTTTCAAGAATTGTAACTTTATTTTTATAATCAGCAATAATGATTGGCTGGGAAAGTTAGTGAGGTCAAAATTAGAAAGAGATTGGATACGAAGAAGGGATAAAGAGATAATTTAATATTAAAGTTGGAAATATATGTACGAAATGGAAATACGAATTAAGAAATAGAGATTAATCTGTATTTTATTGATTGAGAATTACTGATAAATTGATTAATTGTTAAGTGATATTGATATTAGTGAGTGATCAGCCAAAAAAAAAAACATAGAGATACAGATAAATTACCAAAAATTATTGAAAGTTTGTAGATTAATATATATATACCTAGATCTAAGAATAATCTAACTTTGGGTCTATCAGATATTTATAATTAGATGCACTATAAAAGAATATAAAACGAAAAAGAAGTTTATTCATGTTGCACCTGGAGTATCGAGGTATTAATTCTAAGATTATAAAGTTAATCTATTCTCTCCTGGTGTGATACTATTTATTTTATTAACTGGAGAAATACCTTTCTAAGGTTATAGCTAAATAGATGATTAATTAAGAAAAAATGCTTATTGTAAATAAATAGACTTTAAACTTAATGATAGATCAATAAGTTCATTTGCACAAGATTTTGTCTGACTATTATTAGATGAAAATGTTAACATAAGACCATCTGCTTACCAGACTCTCTCACATTATACGGTTCTAATTCTAAAAGTAAATAGTTTATTTAGTTTATCATTAAAAAAAAACCATAATTTGATGTATGACTATAGTTCTCCTTAAAGTGAATAATCACTCTAATATATCTATAAGATGAAAAAACGATTTAAACAAGTAGGAAAATCTATTTTAGTTATCATTTAATTTGCTGCTCTTATCATAAGAGAGAGATTTATCTTAAATATTGAAATTACAATGTTTATTTTATTATAAAAAATGAGTTATAAAGAATACAAATTAAATTTAAAACTTCAATAGTAGAAACTCTTTATTTACTATTTATAAAAACAATCATCTCGATTACATCACCTTGAACTTATATTTTCTAATATTTAATTGATTTTCACTTGTGGATTCTGAATTATTTATTCTCTGAGGACTCTTTTTATACTATTCCTTCAAGACAGAATAAATTGTAATATTATGTTAAGAGGTTGGTAAATCTGGGAATTCTGATTTCATTAATATTACATAAGAGTTTATGCCAAAATTAACTATCAAAAACAATAAGTATAATTGGAATGAAATAAATTATTAAATGATTTTGTACAATATTTTTATTTTATTTTTTAATCAAATATTATCTAATATTATGATTCCATTTATGTATTATCTATTAAATTTATTGTAGACGCTAAAATTATAAAATAATCAAATCTAACATAGATTTGTATTCTAGATCTGTCCATTTGCCTTGCTTTAATCCAACTTGATCATATTTTCCTCCACCACTAAGAAAAGATGTTTAATAAAGTTTACTTTTTTTCAAATTCTTATCTTATCGATAGAGTGCTCGATTGCCATATTCCATTTCTCACCCCGTTTTTGTACATTCCTTCGTAAATAATTTAGTTATAACTAATGAATGGATGGTTACATTCCATACCAATGAAATCTTTCATGCAAAGATACCCAATTTCCTTCTTTTAAACCTTTTTCATTATATAAACCCCCACCACTTATATTATCTACCTCTTTCTTACATTTTTTTATAAGAAATTTGTTTAGGTTCTTTAAGCTCTATACTCCATTTTCCCACTTTCTAACCTTGCAGATATAAACCTCTATAAATAATTTGAAACAAACTAAATAAAAAAGGAATAGTACTGATCAAATTTTATACATACATCTATCCATTAACCTTCTTTTTGCCCAGAATAGTTGTAGGAGCCTTCACCTCTAAAAATTAGGGAATAAAAAACATTTTTATAAAGTTATTAGTTATCTCATACTTATATAATATGTCCCAATTTCCAACTTTTAAGCCTTCATTATAATATCCATTATATATTAAAAAACAATGGCTATGAAAAAATAGGAACTAATACTCTTTGAATCTATCGTGTAAATCTATCCACCTTCCATCTTTTAATCCATTTTAATTATAACATCCTCCACCTCTAATTAAATATAGAAAATACTCACATTTTATGAGTAGTTTTACGTAAACTTTTCATTGTAGCCTCCCATAATCCTTATTTACTACCTTTGACATAATAACCATCAAAGATAGTATGTAGGTCTCTATTTAAGAAAAAACTTAATTAATAATTTACTAATTTAATGTTCCATATAATTCTTTCCAATATCCAATCTTTAAGCCATTATCATCAAAATATCCTCCTCCACTAAAATACCTTTATTTCTCTTACATTGAATTATTGTTAAGAAACGTATTCCAGAAACCGACTTAAACTCCATTGTAATATGTTCCTTTTAAAATAACTTGGCTTTTTCTATTATAAGTCTTAATTACCTTCTAAAATATTTTGAAAATTCAATCCATAAACCAATTTTTTATCCAGTCATATCAAAATAGCCACCACCTCTAATATACTACTATTCATATAATACATTATTTTTTCTTTATCTGTAGTTACCCATTTTCCAGTTTTCTTTCCATTTGCATATTTTCCTTTATAAAAAATTTAGCATGTACTATACTAAATCCTTAAATATTTACTTGCAAAATAATTCATTTAATTCAACCCAATAACCCTATTTCTATTCAAATCCATCATATTTGCCACCACCTCTATTAATATGATTGATTAAATGCTTTACATTTATTAGTTTTCATAAATAATTGACCATTAACCTTATTTCTTTTCATTTTGATATTCTCCTTTCTCAAAAACTTAAGCTTCTCTAATACAATATTGATAAAATAATACTGCCAAAAGTTACTGGAAATCTCTACCCAAAGCCCTGCTTTTTTCCCTTCTTTGTTATATATTCCTCCTACATTTTCTAATTTTTTGCCTCTGAAAAAGGCTTACCATCTTCCTATTTTTTTATTCCTTTTTTCATATTGGCCAATCCACTATAAATATTATATTTAATCTAAATGAAATATATTTTAACTGTCGGAACTAGTATCATTATTTTCAACAGCCAATTATTCCAAAGGTTCTATTTTTATTATCTCTCCATCTAATACATAAATTTACTCTAGATCATTTTATTTAGATATTAAAATAGGAATTTTGTTCAAATCTTAATTTGTTTATATATATGTTTCTATTTGTTTTACTTAATCAATTTTTATATTGTAAGAATTTATTATGTTTTATATATCTTTTTCTTTTTTAACTTCCAAAAGTAAGGGAATTGAATATAATTTTGGTAATTTAGTTTCTATTTCTTATTTTAAGCTCTCATAAAATGAGGACAATTTTTTATCTAATTAGTTTTGATAATTATTAGCCTAAAGATAGTATGAATTCTATAATGAATTCAATTCTACAAATGAATCTCCTTGAATTATGGAGATCAGACAATTCAAAATACCTGAGGATTCAAAAGGATTATTTCTATATGTTATATAATTTAATAGAGTTTCGTTTAGTTGTTCTACGTTACCAAGTGAAGTATTTATGGATTCTCTCAATTATTTCCATATAGACTCAAAATTATTTTGAGTATTTTAAAGAAAGGCCTCAAAATTGGAGCGAAATTTTGCTAAAGTTGAAATATTATTCTCCATAAACGTGTTTGATTTCTGGATGAAAAGATTTTGGAATTCTTCTAATGTTGGTAATAGTTCACATTGAACTTGATGCTCAGAAAGACATATTTCGCATATTTTTCTAATACATGCATGATGGGCAATACAAATGTTAGTGATGAGCTAATCAGGATGATAAATGCAGAAATTTAGATTTTATGCCATTTTTATTTATTTATTTATTAAATCATCAGTTAATTTTTTGTTTAAAAACTACCGAACATATCTATTACTGATAATTAACTTATTAAAATATATAAAAATATATAAGATTTTTAATTCTGTTACATTAAGCTTTCTTTAAATTTATTATAATAATCAGGCTAGTTAAATAGTTGATAATAATTCAAATTAGCACTGTTATGAGAAATGAAATCACAAGTAAATCAAACATTAAGGACTCTTTAAGTTAATTTGATAGCTACTTCTTCCATAAATTGTATTATTTAAATTTTATTAGTTTTGATTAATAACTTAATGCTAAAGAAAAGTAATATTTTTCTACTTAATTTTTTTCATTCTAAATCAATTAATCCTACATTAGGAGAAATTAGTGTAGAAGTTTAAAAGCTCAATATACACTTATTCAGAGTTGACACACAAAGCAAAATTAAATATGTGGCACTAAAAAATGAAATTAAATTATTCTAATTTAGATGTAAAATATATTCAATACTTAGAGCTCACTTCTATTTTATCTCAACTTTTAATATTTTAAGGAGTAGATATTACTTTGTGTCTAGTTTAGATGGCCCATTTCATCTCTAACTCTATGATTAATATATCTCTTATAGAGTTCAAAATACTTAAGCTTTTATACAGTTTTTGCAACTAGATAATAGCTTACTTAACATGTATTACAACCATCAAACTGGATATTGTTTTATCATCATAATTATCATCCAAGATTGTGATTCCAAAATTACAATAAGGGAT